GGTAATTAGGATGGGTGTGTCAGAGGCAGTGCGATTGGCACAGGACAGAGCAGGGTTTAGGGCTGTTGTACATAGGGTCGCTATGAGTCACAAGCGACTTGATGGCACATTATAACAACAACTCCAAGAAAGACCCTGGATGTTCATTCATCTATAGTGTGTTTTACACAATCTTTCACTTATTTTGTGTTTCATACAACTATTCATATACATTGTGTTTTATGTAATTAGTTACTATTGATTTATGCTTATTATGACCCTGTCTTTTTGAGTCCTCATCTAATCTTTCCTATCCATTTATTCCTCCCCTCAGTCCACCCACTAACCTCTGATATCCCAGTAATTCCACCATCTCCCTTTTCTTACCTCCTTCTCCCTTTTGGACCTTTATACACATCTTACTATTTATCCTTCTTTTTCAAAAGTTCTGATCATTTCAGTATTTGTCATTATCCTTATGAGACTTAGTTCACCCAACTTAGATTCTCCCATGTAGTTGTGATGTTAGTCTGAAGTTGGGATTTTAAAAAGCCATTACATTAGCCCCCTCTGGCCTCCAGCTACTTTGATACCTTGACTGCAGATGCATAATCTTGCAAATCATTAACAGCTGTGGGACTAGGATAATAGAGTGCTTCCCACAGTGAGCAGCAAGACTTGAGGACGACTGGCACAAGCCGCTGATGAGAGCCAGACTCTGGTGACAAGACCCTGATGATGGAGGTAGAGAGACTCTGGGTAAACTCTGGCAAGGTTTAGCCAAAGGAGCCCTGAAATAAAGCCTACAGTTAAAGGTTTTGCTGTTCTTGTCTTTGATAATGGAAGGGAAAGCTGCTTGCTGAACTTAAACTGGAGTCTGGACTAATTGAGGATTTGTGCCTTGAGATGGCTAGGCTGAAACTTGCATTTGAATTGGATTATATTCTTTGCCTTCCCCACTGTCCAACTTACTTCTTCAAATATTCCCATTCTCAGTACCCCCCCCCCACACACACACACACACAAGATGAATGTCATGTAGTATTACTACATGACTCGGCAGTTCCACTCCTAGGTATATACCCAAAAGAATCGAAAACAGGAGTGCAAACAGATACTCATTCAGCACTGTTCACAGTAACCAATAGGTGGAAACAGCCTAAATATCCATCAGCAAAGGAGTAGATAATGTGGAATATTATTGAACCATAAAAAGAATTAAATCCTAAACTGTGCTCCAGCATGAATGAATGTGGAAAACATACTGAGAAAATTGGTAAGTCACAGAAGAACAAACTGTGAGATCTCACTTTCCTGAGCTATGTAGAGTATGCCAGTTTTCTTGGGCTGGGTTCACATACACACAAAACCCACCAGCAGCTCTGAGGGAGAAAGATAGTCTCTTCCCATTGGATTTACAACCTCTGAAGAATCACTGGAGTGTCAGCTATGACTTGGTTACAGCTTGATGGCACTTAACAGTAGCAACAGCATAAAGAGATTGAAAGAGGGATTTATCTAAAGGAGATGACTTACGTGCTTGTAAAGGGTTCAGTCCCAGTCTGCAGCACTTAACTGTGGAGGCTGATGACTCCAAGGTCAGTGGATAAAGCAGGGATTTTGGTCCAATGAACCAAAGAAGTGAGGGTCCAATACTCAAGCACCTCAAGAAAAAGGTACATAATCCAATCACAAAATGACACAGGATATGAATTGGCACTTCACCAAAGAAGAAATTAAGATGGCAAACAAATAAATGTTCAAAATCCCTAGCTATTAGAGAAATGCAAATCAAAACAATTAGGAGATACCATCTCACCCTAGCAACATTAGCAAAGTTTAACAGAGCAGCAAATAACAAATGCTGGCAAGGCTGTGGAGAGATTGGAACCGCTGATGGGAGTGTAAAATAGTGCAGCCACTATGGAAGGTGATCTGGTGCGTTCTCAAAAAGTTGGAAATAGAAATACTTTTTGACCTAGCAATTCCACTATTGGAAATACACCCCAAAGAAACCAGAGCCACAGTTCAAATAAATGTGTGCACACCCATGTTGGCTTATTTTTGTGTTAGGTTTGGTGTGTTGTTGTTTTATTTAATATATAAAATATATTAAAGCATGACCACCGTCCCCCGACCACCACAAATTTGAAATTTGCACATTTGGGTAAATTACAG